ATGGTACAGAATGTGGGTCAGGAAAAGAATAAAACCAAATTAAAAAAACACTTATAATTAATAGAAAACAATATAAAATTATACATAATAAAAAAAAGTAGGTACAAAATACACAAAATACCAAATAAAAATTATTTAAGAAACCCAAATTGCAATTAGTTTTTGTAATGATAAGAAACTACTTTGATAAATTGAGTTCGTGAAAGGATCTTATTTTTATATTGTTCTATTACGTTCGTTAAATACGCATGCCGTTTTTTGTAATTAGCGTTTTTAATTTTGTTAGGTATATGTGTACTGTTTAATTTCACATAAGTATTTAACTGAATATCGAGAATTACATTAACAAATTTGAATATATCGGGATGCGCCGAATAAAAAGCAGAATTAAAATGTTTGTGGAAAGACTCACAAGCATTTGTTGTGCGTTCTGTGGAACTTGAGCACGATGCCCACATTGTAGGCGGGAAGTCAGACGTATCGCTAGTATACGTATTAATCATATAAAGAGTATATGAAGTTAATCTCTCGTCAAATGGCATTATTGGAATTAAATCTTTACAAAAACACTCTGCCACTTCAGTACTTTCCAAAAATAAAATGCCGAAAGTGTAATGAAGCCATTTGCCGATTTCAGAATTTTCATTTTTATATTCGGAAATCAAACCCAGATTTTGTATCTTACGTAACCACGATTGGGTTAAATGAAATCTACATCCAATAATTAAGATATCAGGCCAAATCTGTATAATACCAGTGTGTATGGCTTTCTCAAAATCGCAAATAACTTTACACAGCTTCCAATCTAAATTTAAATTATTATAACAGTAATCTTTTAATAATTTAAATGCAGTTGCATAGGTACTTGCTCTTTTATCTGGTAAAACAAAAAATGCCAATGGTATGTAGTGTCCGTTATCAACAGCATGTATAGTGAAAAATTGTAAAAAAAATTTAGGGCAATAATTAAATGTGCCGTCGCAATAAATACTATCACGAGAACACAAGTATTTTAAATTTGAATCACATGAAAATAAAATAATTTGTGAATCTTCATTGTTAAATAATAAAAATTGTTCACCCTTATTTGTAACACATTGTATTGCTTTCAGTACACTATGAACATCACTGATACACTTTGGCAAAGGTGGCAATATACTTCATCTTGCCCTGTATATGCTTCGTCTGATGAGGTCAACATCCGTAGTGGATACATTAAAAGTATTTCCTTCCCCTCGGATTCCGTTATTAATTAACTTACTGGGTTTAACGCAAATATCTTCTGTTGCCTTTCTTTTCAATCCGTTTTGAAGTTTTTTTACATCTAAATGGTCCGATGGTGGATGATTGTGTTCACTCTTAGATTTCAATAAGACAGTTTCCGAATCGTCCACTCCAATAGTCGCTTTACACCCACGACGAGTACACTTATATGATACACCTAACTTTGTTTCCTTGTCTTTTCTAAATGTATATTTTTTTACAATTAACAACTTTTTTCCTTTTACACTTAACATCGACTCCATTGCAACACAAACTCAAAACTTCTTTTATGGAATAATGAATAAGATGAGAATCACTTTTAAAATAAAAAAATTAATCTTTTCAGTAAGAATGCAGACAATTAACTGATGAAAAATATTTTTATTTTAGTTCTCGACAGGTCACAAACCGATATTATAATTAGAGTAATTAAATAACCCCATAATTTTCTTGGAACCCTTAATCCAGGTTTGGAGACCAAGTGGCCTATACCTTTCGAATAGCGAAAGGATTAAATTTGGGTAAAACTGACCGCGGCGACCAAGAGGTATATTCCCAGAAAATTAATATTGGTTTTAATTTTCAAGGAAAAATGAGTATCTGGAACTTCATATTAATAATTCAGAAGTCAGGTTCGTGATATCGATTTAAAATAATACTGAGAAGTCGACGAGAGTGGTTATGTTATCTTTCCAGTGGGACTCGAGTAAATTTTCATTTAAAAGAAAATATGTTCCGTATTGTTGATTTGAGATTTAAATTATCCTACGCGCTCTATGATGGAATATTTAATGAGTACTACTAGTCGGCTACTCCTGTCGTCACTAACTTTGTTAATAGTGTTTTTGTCGGATGTAAAGGGTGTAATTGAAGTTTATCGACAAATTATAACCAGCAGACTTATATCCGTGATATACAGGTACAGTCTGTCCGCTATACTTACGCGGGTTTCGGATTAAAAATATTATGAGTATTTCCAGCTAAGTACCCGAAAGTTTGACCAGTTCTTTGGGGGTAAATATCAACTGGTTAAATGAAATGAAAAATATTGTACAACTTTTTAATTAAATAATAATGGAGAATCTTTTGTATAATTGAGAGCAGAATTAAACTTCTTCATTAATGGATTCTAATGTGGCTATTATAAAACTAATAATAATTTTATATTACACTTCACACAGAAAATATGGTCTATGTATAATAAGAGGGTTATTTAGCTCAAATAAAATATTTTCTAACATAAAAATTTGTTCCATGTAGAGAATTTCAAATGAAAAATAAAAAAATTGAACTTGCCAACAAAAATGAAAATCAGTCATTATCATCCAAAATATCATAATCGTCATCATCATCACTGTAATCACCATTAATTGTTATTATGATTGGACTTATTTCGTTTATTTTATTTTCACAAGTCCACCAATCTTCTATTAGTTTCTCGCACTTGGATATACAGTTGCAAACACACCTGGGGGGTTGCAATTGAAAGTGCTTTTCGCCAAGTTTCCCGAACTGCGTCGTCACTATAACCATTAGGCCCAATATGGTTGTCATAAATTTGTTTTGCTATTCCCCATATTATATTCGATGGGATTAAACTGGCAATGATACGGTGACAGACGTAAAACTTGCTGCCCTTAACTTTCAATAATCTGATCCACAATAAAGGTTTTTGGTTTTGCGTGTATATTTGCCAAGCGTAATAATTCTGATTTTAATATATATTGAGGAAATGGTATATGTTCCTTTGTCAACCATTCTTTAATTTTATCAACAGTCCAAAAATTCGTTGAACTTTTGTTTAATACTTCAGAATGGTAAGGTGCATTGTCTAAAATAATTACGCTGGGCTCACTTAAACCTGGGAGAAGTTTTTCATGCAACCATTTGACAAACATTTCTGTGTTCATATTATCGTGATAGTCACTGGATTTTAATTTAGATGAAAATATTAAATCAGCACCTTCTATAAAATCCAATTTCCCTCCTGCATGTAAAATTATGTGTCGCTTCCCTTCTCCATCGGTATGTTTGATGGACTTTAGGTTATCATCTTGCCATATTCGTTTGGTTTCACCCCTAGAAAATATCTATGTTAAGGGCCTTTCTGTTATTCTCCTTTGAAATTTTAAACCCAAGTTATGTATCTCATGCCATAGACTTGTTCTGCCAATGTCGTCAAATTTTCTATCTATTAATTCCGAGAGAATTGTATGTAAGGTCAAATGTTCCTTGTTGGCCCTCATTCGATAAATGGTATCATGAATTTCAAATTTCTTTCCATCTGGAATATCTGTCGTTTTCAATGATGGGCGAGTTTTGCGATGATCTTCTTTTAGCAGTTCACTATTGTGATTTTGTAATTTTCCTCTTAATTTGGCTTCACTAATTCCTAGAGCATCGCATACTCGTTGTTGTACAGACATTATTGATTTTAAAGGACCGCCATTTTCTTTTTCATCCGTAAAACACTTATGTACACTACAAATTAGAATATCTACATCTAACACACATACAATGTCAACACTTGTAAAGAAACAATTCAACTGCAATATTTGTAACAAATTTAATAACTACCTTAATGTTATTTTAATTTAAATCTGACCATTAGGGCAATTTTACCTAATTTCTTAATAAGAGGCTTATTGGAACTGGTTGTCAATGACTAATTTGCATAATTTGTTAATCCGAAACACGCGTAAGTATAGCGAACAGACTGTATACTACTACCTCTAAAGTATCACACTACTCATAAATATACAGGATGTTCCATCTCAGACGAGCCACCCCGTATATTTCTTATCCCATAGTAATTGGAAAAATTTACCAAAACACGTCAGATGATTTTCTTTAGAGGACATCTTTTGACGTATATTTGAGGCTTGAACGAGCAACCCCCTATGAGGGGGCGCTTCAACCCCTCAAAATTGAATAGGGAAGAGGGGTTGAGTGATACTTCATTTGTAAGGTCTTGGAAGCTTCTTTACAACGGTGTATGAAAATAAATCACATTCTTTAAAAATTTTTATTGTTTTATCATACATGAAATGATCGAAGAAACGTGATAAACACCTTCTAAGAACAAAAACTGAAGGCAAGATAAGAAAATGTTTTGAATTTGTTTTATTTATTAGTTCGAGAGAATTGATTATTGTATGGAAGTCAATGGAGGACAATTTGAACATTTGATTTAAAAACGCAGTTTTGATTTTTTTGATTGTAAGCAGGATATAACAATTAATTTTTTTAAGAATGTGATTTTTTTCATACACCGTTGTAAAGAGGCTTCCAAGACCTTACAAATGAAGTATCACTCAACCCCTCTGCCCTATTCAATTTTGAGGGGTTGAAGCCTCAAATATACGTCAAAAGATGTCCCCCAAAGAAAATCATCCGACATGTTTCTGGAAATTTTTCCAATTACTATGGGATAAGAATTATACGGGGTGGCTCGTCTGAGATGGAACACCCTGTATAAAACAGGATGAAAATTGGACCATCGTTGACTGGAGGAAAGTTCTATTCTCTGATGATGAAACTGGAATAATAAGAAATAAAGGTCACTTACACTAGAATCTTTTTATGCCTAGAATTCTGAATGGGACAATAATTTTGAACAGCAGTATACAGTGTGTCCGAAATTCGAGTCTATATATATATATATATATATATATATATATATATATATATATATATATATATATATATATATATTGATATAATTATATATGTTTTAGGGAATTTGATGCGGATTCGAGCTTTTTTAAAATATTGAAAGATATATAGATTTTGAGGTATTAAAGAAAAATAGCGATTTGGATTCTTTTTTTTTTAATGAGAATATTTTTGTAGAAATTGTGTTTTGTTTTTGAGTTGCCTACTCTAACTTTGTTATTTCTTATAACAACAATCTTGGATTTTTACATATTATTTCCCTCTAAATAATCTTTTAAGCGATGCGCCACATGTTATCCAGTTTAAAAAAAAAATACATTTTCTCTAATTCGGCAAAACTGCATCCATCTAAAATAGCATGTAGTATAGTTGCAGCATACAAAGCCATTTCATTTGTGTGAGCAAAAAAAATTATCTTAGGTAACTATAATTATATTATAGTGTAATAATTATATATATTAAACGTATGATTTGAATAAAGGAACTCACCCTTTAGAGGCAAGCATATAACAGGATACAATATTCGAACTGAAGAATACCTATAAAATAAAAAAATGTACCTAATCGGTTTTCACAAAAAAGTATTAAATAATGGAATACCGATTAACTGAAAAGGGATATACCTACAATCCATTTTTCAATACCCATCCTTGTAAACTGACTAACAGATTTTATCGTTCGATAATTAGGTTACATCGTAATTTTATCCAGTCAGTATTATCCTCTAGAGTAATTCAGATTGTTGCATATTAGTTAATTAGCTTAGTTATAAGGAATTCACAAGCGGTATGCGATTAACGTCTGGATTCTCTTCTAGAATGATACTAAGCGGTATATGATACAGGGTGGATATTAATCACAAACCTAAAAAATTAATTAGTCCATCATCGTCTTCTCAAGTTGTGTACGAGAACCAGTCTAAAAGCCAAATAATCATCACCTTAATTAGAATAAATATAATGTTATGTTACGTTATAATGGTTAATATTATTTTAATTTATTATAGTTTATTTAAAAAGGAATGATAGCAAAAATTTTTAGTAATATTAATCAACAAAAATAGGGTAAGTAAGTAATCTAAACAGATAGAAAATCTTTACAATCCAAGATTAATTTAAGTAGCCCTCAACTTTCTCTAAGTGTTATGCAGATTGTAAATTATTTTAGTTAAGATTTACATTTCAGTTTGTATAGTCCTGTGATTGTAACAGGCAGAATTGTTAGTTCTGTAATAAGAGGCGATAAAAACGATATTGATCAAGTGAATTTGTGCAATAAAAATGACACAGACGTCTAATTATACTCCTGTGAAATTAAAGTGCAATTTAACCGTGGATATGAAAAATTTTATGTTAAATGTAGATGACGCTTTTGTACATGAATATTTCAAAAGAACTGTTTTTAAGTGTTCAAATATGACCGGAGTTGAAGAAGCAACCGTTTATAGACTTTTGTATCAACGAAAGGATGGAAGTATTACAGTAGCACCTAAAACGTCAACTGGGAGAAAACCCATTCAAATAGACGGTACACAGCCATACTGGCCATTGGTAAAACCATAGAAGAATCGCTCAGAAAAAAATATGACGCATTAAGCTCAACGAAACTAAAACAGAAAATTATACTGATTGACGAATAGAAAATCAAATACTTTCAATCGAAAATAAACTTTTAATATATAAACAAGTACTGAAGCCAGTATTGACTCACGGCATACAGCTCTGGGAGTGTGCCAGTAAAACTAACTTATAATACAACGTTTCCAGAACAAAATATTAAGGGCAATAGTAAACGCCTCTTGGTATGTTGGAAACTCAGACCTACACAGAGATCTGAGAATGCCTACAGTCGAAGAAAAGAGGAAAACGATCGCAAAAAAACATGAAATACTGCCTGATCACGTCAATATTGAAGTTTTATAGTTCCTGGACAACCGATACCTAACGAGAAGGCTCAGAAGGACCAACCATTTGAATTAGTGATGTAAAAGTGTGTATAGTTATCAAAACAGAAAGGAGCTGTGCGAAGTTATCACGAACATGAGACGTATATGCGACTATCGGTCATGGCCCCTACTTTAGAAAACATTTTTGAAGATCACTCTTTATTTTCCTATCGTGTTTTTTGCAAGAGAAAGGTTAATAAACTAATTCTACAACAAGCATCTCTGTTGAATAGCAAAAGTGACAAGTAATATATTTTCGCTGCTAATCGACCAAACTTAAACTTATTCGATATTTAACATAAATAATTTATTTTTGTTAGTTCATAATCACGATACTCATTCGAGAAATTTCATTAATTACGAAAACTTTTGGTTTGACGTTGACGTTGAAAAGCGGTTTCATTAATACATTTTCGACATATTTTTTGTATTTATAGAAACGAGTATAACAAAAAATCTCAGCAGTCTAATTTTTTAAGTTCCAAAGTACTTGATTATTTCGAATTGTTTTTATAAATTCAGGCGTCTAATATCAAATGTAGCAAAGTCCACTTTTCTAAATTTTCCACTACACAACAAAAACTATTTAAAAAATATTTTGGCTTTTAAGTGTGTAAATAAATTATTTTATGTAAATTCCAGTCAAAATCGACGTAGGATTTTGAATAATATTTTAAATTGGCTATATATATTGGAGTTTGCTGTATTTGATATTTAAGGAGTTTGCTATATATGATTTGTTCATGAAAGGAGATTGCTGTTTATGATAGTAAATTGGGGTGTCAAAACATCCAGGACTGTATTGAATACAAACACAGTTCTGCTCACTAATTAATACTGTGATTAGCAGAAACTAAAAACAATGTTTTTCATATTGTCAATAAACAATATGTCCATGGGCGCCGACCAAAAAATTATGCCGCAGGCTATAGACGAAAGCTCTAACGAAAAATCCAAAATCGGAAATCTAGGGCGCTTGCCCTCGTGTGGCAGTGCCTATGAATGTGTCCATTAAAGTTGACCACAAATAAGAAACTTTTTTATTATTAGTTTATTAGTGCAAGCAAGAAACTAAAATAACAACGTTGCCAGTAAACGGCCGCCTGGCTGCCTGTGTATTGTGCTATCATCTGTCTGCGCTCTGTGCTGTGTGATGTGAATTAAGAATAGGCACACAACGACAGATATACCCACAATCTCAACGCAGCCAGGCCGTTGGCATTGTTGATATTATTCGTTTTCTTCTCGAACTAATGCGAGGCCTCCACAGTTTTCACTTCGACACTAGTAAACCGTATTAGAGGGTTTTCAATAGACGATACTGTATATGAATTAATAAATAAATATATGTACAGAGTTGCGCGAAAGTCCGGAATAAAATTATTAACTGTTCAACCAGTAACTTAAAAAAAAAAACGCCGAAACACGTAAATTGATTTTACATTGGACGTATTTGTTGCCAATAAAATGATTTTTTTTCTTTAACTCCTTAGCTGCAACCCTACCCAACTTTTTTTTCAAATGCAAAGGTATGTCGTGTGTAGGTCATTGAAAAGCTCATGAAAAATGAAATTTTACCATACCCTATTTTTGTTTTACTTATGTGGTTATTGGGAAATAAGAAAAAATTATTTTAAAAACAAAAAAATTACAAATAGGGTATAGTGAAATTCCATTTTTCCCTCCAAACGACATATCTTTGCATTTGAATGTACTTAATGTAGGAAATTATATGTGTTTTTTATTGTCATTATAGATTTATTAATTGTGGACCTGGAAAAAAATGTTGCTTATCTCAATCATTTCGGCTTATTTGCTCTCCAATTTTTGGCATTTCCAACACACTTTCTAGCGTGTTTTTTATCTACAGGAGGACAAGAGATCTCCATTTTATGAATTTTCTCTAAACAATTCTTATTATTTTGTTATTATGTACTAAAAAAACAGTAATAAACTATGCAAGTGTTGTTGCAAACTGACTATAGCTACCGTGCTGGTTTAACTACTTGTTATTGGCTGAAAGTGCCTTTGCTATTTTTGTTATGTCAAATTTGGAGGTTGCTGTTTCTACTACAAACTAAACAACTTTGCTGAATGGTTTTAACGGCTTATTTCTGTTTTTGTTACAAAATAAGAACTGATATTTTAATAAACAAACATTCCAAACCGGTAAGACACAAAAAGCTTCAATCAGAAAATTTGGAGTTTGCTGCTTTTGATATTATACCCCTGAATTAATATATACTAGTTAGTAGGATTTGTTTTATAGTGATGATAATGTCAGCATAAAATTTTAAAATTGAATACAAATTCGAGAGACGCTAAAATGGTGGTTCCCACCTTATCGAGAATGAGGCCCGCAAGGGTTAACTCGTAGCGTAACAAAAACGAGAAATGATTTGACTTGGAACGAAAGACCGAAAGCCGATAGTAGTATTAGGACGTTGAATTTTTTGGTTTGTGAAGCATTGGCATTACTTAGGTTAAACTATGTGATGATTTTCACAAGCCTTGATTGGTAAAACCATTCTATATCGCCTTTTGATTAGGGTTTAAAAACTTATTCGAGCAATTTATCCAATAATAATTGGCCCCTTTACCTCCTAAGCCTGCTCATGTAAAATATTTGGGCTCCTTACTTCGCCTATTTATATTCTATTAATAAAGGACAGAAAGAGTATTGCAACTATGGTAAAAGAAATAAATTGGTTTTTAGTTCAGAATTATGTTAAGTACATGACTGATATTTATTTATAAAATGAAAATGACATACCATAAGCCAATCTGACTTTCATGTACGGCAAGCCATCACTAAAGGTTAAAAAATACAATTTTTATTAAAGGTTTAAAAAATTTAATAGACTGCCTACAGAAATTAAAAAAAAAAACAATAAATGTATTCAAAAGTAAACTCAAACAATACTTGATAAATAAACAGAATGCATATATTTTCTTGTGATAATACTCTTTAAACCTGCCCTTTTTAAGTATTTCCCTTAATTTATTGTTATTTAACACCTCGTTTTACCCGCATTTATTATAAATTATTTCTGTTTTGATATCATGTACTTTATTTTAAAAAATTACATGATATTATATTAATACTACTTACTATGTTTAAATTAT